AACATGGCACCGCTTTGGCGTCGTTTCAGGCAAACGCATAGCAAAGCAACAACGCCTTTCGCATTTTCGTATCAAAGAGTGAACTCTACTAATCCAGCTACGCTAACCACAGTGTTTTTGCGAGAAACACTTTCCCCAAAAATACTGTTCTCAGCGTAGCTGGAGTTGGGACCTACAAGGGCTATTTTTTGGTGAGAAAATTACATCGCCGTCGACGTCGACAACGATAATAGGGCCCATAATTAAAAATTACTAACTTTTCCATTTTTTATTTACCACGATAGCCAAATTTGCTTGCCTAATTATTTTTTAAAAATACTTGACATTCGCATTCGCATCCCCATCCGCGGATGTTGGCTTTTAGACATCCACATTCGCATTCGCATCCGCGGATGTGTAAAATTTCACATTCGCAACATCCCTACTTAAGACTAACAAGAATAATCGAGATATGTAAGCTTTTAGAGGAAAATAAGATATAGAGATTAGCAACGAAGATAATAAAATAGGGACAGATAAGAGAACTGCAAACGATTTATCAAAATACACCAACTATGCAAAGAAAATAAAATCTGCGTAAATATAACGAAAACATGCGTACATTACGAAATTTTTCGTCGTTTTGAGCCACGAAAGTTTTCGTTGATTGTACAACACCGTTTTGGTACATACTACAAAAATATGAGGCATCAGTTCCTTCGTACATTTTACGAATATATTCGTACTATTTACCAACGAATTTAGTACTATTTACTAAAGAATTGCGTGCCATTTCTTAGTTTTTTACAAAATATTTGTATAATGCACAGAAATAATTCGTATAACGAAATTATTTTCGTAAAATCTGCGCTTCTTTCGTAGAATGTGCGATTGCTTTCATTCTCCACACTGTAAAAAACATATTACGAATTATAACACAACACTTTTATTTTGTTTTTATAGTTAATTTTAAGCGTTTTTGTTTAACAAAATGTTTTGCAAAAACGCTTAACATTAATGATTAAAATGTAATGAAAGTGTTGTGCTATAATTCGAGTCATGTTTTTTATAGTGTTAAAATAAAAGCAATCATACATTCTACGAAAGAAGAAGAAGAATTTTAATACTACACTGTAGTTCAAAATTATAAAAAACTGATATTTTACCTATAATAAAACTTAAGTCTTTTATTTATATGCATACGAATAGGTTCTAAAGGGTGAACACACCAAAACTAATTCAATATTTTGAAATTCAAATACCATAAGTTGACCATGACCTTAGTTGAACGTAGAAGAAATTTCATTTGAATTTGATTCCTAGAAGAGTTAAAAATGGCAACCGAGCTAGAAACGAGACAAACCATTTTGCACGAGTTTATAAATGATCCGGCCTTAAGTACACGTAAAATTGCTAAAAAATTAAAGAGTGCACTATTCGACAGTTTACAGGGTTTTAATCGGTACAAATAAGGCCTGACAGTTACGAGAAAACCAGGGAGCGGGGGGTTAGCATGGTCAAAGTGATAAAAAGAGTGCTCGGAAGGTCCTCAGTGCGTTTTCGCGAGATCCGAAGATTTTGTCGCGTTATGTTGCAAAATCCGTACGGAGATCGCAGTTTTTCGTACAAAAGGTAAAGCGGAAAGCTTCATTGAGATGTTCTACAGCTCAAACAGCGCCAGACCGAGGCGCAAAGTAGAATGTTACAGCGAAATCCCGCATTCGGAAGTTGTGTGAATTCTAATTAAAAAATACAACTGCATTGTTATGGACTGCGAAACCTACTGCTATAAAAATTCAAAATATATTGCAGGTCAAGATTTTTATACTGTCGTCAAGATGCCCATGAAAGTTGTAAGCTGAAAATGAAGTCCAAATTTCCAAAAACCACATGGTTTGGCAAGCTATTTGTTCCTGCGGCCGTAAGAGCAGCCCTTTTTTCCCATCCGGGACAATGAATGATCAAGTTTATCGGGATGAGTGCCTCAAAAGGCGTCTTCTGTCATTTATCAACAGATAAGGAGTAGGCCATCGTTCTAGGCGGACATGGCAACCTGCCACTATGCCAAGGACACATTGTCGTGGTATAATGCAAATAACATCAATTTTGTACCTCACGACTGCAATCCACCCAATAGCCCAGAGCCACGTCCTATTGGGGAATATTGGTCAATTGTCAAAGGAATCTTGAAGAAAACAGGTGAAAGAGTGAAAATTATTGAAGAGTGCAAAACAAAGTAGTTGTGCGCATCGCGTAATGTCGATGATGCAGTCGTGCAGAACATAATACCGATCACTTGCATATGGAGCAAATAATAACTAATATTTTAACATTTTAATAACATCTAAACTTCCAAGTTATATAATACAAAAAAAAATAATTTCAAAGCCTTCTAGTTTGTTTCTGGTAGTAATTTCTAAGTGTCGCAGTTTTGGTGTGTTCACCCTTTAGTCAAAGTATCCGAAAATGGAATCCGCTTTTCATGCACCTTTCTTTCAATTTCGGATCCATTTCCGGATTTTTTGCTCGTTGGGATATTAAAGACTACATATCGTCACCTGACGTAACAACATCGTAACTGAAATGGAAAAAGTCGTGACTACTCTTTTTATTTTTAACCGACTTCAAAAAAAGAAGGAGGTTATCAATTTGTCGGGGTTTTGTTTTCTGTATGTATGTTACCGCATAAATTTTAACCACGTTAACCAATTTCGATAACTCTTTTTTCATCGGAGAGGTGGTACCTCAAGGGTGGTTTGTTTAGATCCGATAATTGGATCCTGAAGAAATTAACGACAATATTAAATTTTTATATGAGAATTGAAGTCGGTTTTGTTTTTTGCTTAAAGATTACTTGTTTTCTTAAAATGATGTTGGAGTTGTAATTCGATGAAATCCATGATGGAAAACTGAATTTTTGATTAGTTACGACTTTTTGTATTTCAGCGACGATGTTTGTTACGTCTTTTTGCATTTCAGATGACGATATACACATACATATACATACATTAGATAAAAATAATCTTGACTGAGTGTTATTTTGTGACTTAGCTATTATGAAATCGTATTTTAATAAGGGCCGTTAATTTATCTAATGGATAATTTTCATATATAAATACAGTTTTTATAAAATATATTACTACGAACTTTCATTTTACTTAAATATTTTATTTCTCTTTCATGCAGATGAACTCGGCTTGCACTTTCGGCGCTTGGCATCCCTTAGCTGCTGAAAAGCTAATGGCACTCGATATGAACTTAGCAGATGACATGTCCGTTTTTCAACATGGAGTTCTGCGCATACGTCGCCCAGACAAGCTACTATGTGGATTCAATTTTCTTGGATATTGATCGTGCAATAATGTCAACATCGTAATGAGGAAATATTTCTGAGCAATAAACTTCTGAATTACGGGCTTAATAAATATTTACATATAAAAAGCGTAATATACCAACTAAACCAGCGCGCTTCGCTACACCCTACAAATTTTATACTTATCACAAATCTATTAAAATGTTTGAAATAAACATCTGAATTTATGTAATGAGGAACGAAAGCTTATTGTAATGCTCGTAAGTAAACGACATCCTTGATTTGCCTATAAAAAACTAGAATTGGAAATTCTTCTTGCTATATGCTTAGCCGAGCTTCTCCTCCAATTTATGGAGTGCACCTTGATAAATGTTGCCACACATGGGCTTGTGGCGATAAACGCCAACAATCAAACTAAATTCAGTTTACAAATCAGGTTACAAATCAAACTTGCGAACTAAGTTTGTCTGTATTTATATGAAAACTCGTCAAAGTTTACATTATAAGTTTGTATTGCATACGAAATCCGATCTGGTAGCACCATCGTCATGAAGAAGAAAATTAATGGGAGTCGAGAAGAAGAAGGTGCAAGATAGAAAAGAAGGCTTTTTCAGACAGCAGAGAGTAGACACGTATTTTTAGTAAGCAAACATTTTTTTTTAATAATTAGAGCGAATAGACATTTTTGTGGATATTTCGAGTAGTGAAATATAAATCCTGTGTTTCACTGATTACGACACCCACAATTTGGTGACCTTTCGACTTTTTGGATACGAAGCAAGATTCATTTAGTCTGCTCGCTTTTATTTGCTGCATATATAAGCTTGCAACATTTTTTT